GGGCGGGGCGGGCGCGCAGGCGCGCTGCGGCCGCGCAGCCGGTGATGGCGGCCGCGGCGGCGCTGCGGGGCCCCGGCCCATGAGGCGGCCCTGGGCCCGCGCACCCGGCGGAGCCAGCGACGGAGTCATGGCGGGAGTGTTCGACATCGACCTGGACCAGCCCGAGGACGCGGGCTCGGACGAGGAGCTGGAGGAGGGGGTGAGAGGGGGAGTGCGGGCGCGCGGCGTGGAGGCCGCGGGGCCTGAGGGAAGGAGGGCGCGGGAGGCGCCGCGGGGGCCGCGCTGAGGCACCCGGGGAGAGCCCGAGCCTCCCGCCCCGCCCCGCAGAGCCCCATCCGGCCCCGCCAGAGCTCTTCCCTTCGGAAGTTCGGCGCCGGGACCGCGGGGGTTGTTTCCTGGCTTTGCCGTCACACGCTCGAGCGGCGGGGCAGGAGCGCGGCTCGCTCCGCTGTCGCGGCTCTCGCGGCAAAGTTGAAAGCTCAGATTTAAAGCGCCGCGTTGGGCGGGCCACAGGGTGTTTGTGTGCTGTGCTGTGCTGAGCGCTGCGCTCGCCGTGGGGAGTTCGCGGTTTAAGATGTTCGTCTGGGCTCTGCCACGGTTTTGGAGGGGTCTCATTGCAGTATCTGTTTATATTTTTCCAGTGATGTTGTTGCTTTTTAAAGCAGTTTGGTGTTGTGTAAACTGCTACTGCATTTATTTTCTGCTGTTTAAATTCTAATGACATCCTTGGAGTCCTTGAGATCATGGAATGGTTTGGGTTGGAAGGGACCTTAAAGCTCATCCAGTCCCACCCCCTGCCATGTTCAGGGACACCTTCCACTATCCCAGGTTGCTCCAAGCACTTTTAGGGATGGGGCAGCCACAGCTTCTCTGGGCAACCTGTGCCAGGCCCTCACCACCCTCACAGCCAAAAATTCCTTCCCAATATCCCACCTAACCCTGCCCTCTGGCAGTGGGAAGCCATTCCCCTTGTCCTGTCACTCCAGGCCCTTGTAAAAAGTTCCTCTCCATCTTTTCTGTAGACTCCCTTCAGGTTCTTTCCTTCAGGACACAACCAGATATTCAGTTCCCCCACTCCACATGAACTGTAGGACGTTGTTTGACAGCTGGAAGCTCCTCGACCTGCAGGGAAAAGCTCTGTTTGTCACCTCAGTAATCAATAAAATACTTGGCTTAAAAAACCCCTGTAATTGCATCAGACAGTTAATGCTGCCAGGAACAGGTTCTGAGGGGGTGGCAAGAAAGTTGAGTTTGTTCTGTCTCCTGTTCCAATAATTCAGTCCCAGGGAACAATTAAACCATTCATTGGTTAATGTGGATTTAAAAACATTGCCTTGACAGAAGTTTCTGTGGGGCAGCAACAAATGCATGTTGGCAACCTCAGCTGGTTCTCAGGTGCCTTTTGCAAACAGATAAAGGAGAGAGAGAGAAGTGGAATTAAACCAACTGAAAATCAGGGAATGTCAGGGCAGGGAAGAAGGGGAACATCAGGACTGTGTGGAGGGGGAGGATGTTTCAGTGGAAGTTGTCTCTGTGTGTGTCCTACAAGGATCAGAAGGATGTTGCAGTGGAGATCATTAAACTGGAATTGATTGAGGTGGGAAGTCAGGACTGTGTTGTCTCATTTCTGGTACTTCCCAAAGCCTTGGGGGAGCCCAGACACATCAGCTGTGGGTTGGAATAGGCACAGCCATCCCAGAAAATCTAAAGGATTGTTAAATGCAGCATTTCCTCAAAAGCCCTGTGGTTGTTTGCACTAATTATTGTGGTGTGAAAAACCACCCAGCCTTAATTTTTGTGTTTGTAAGGAGTGAAATAACGTATAGACTGAAGGGCTGCTGCTGGTGTGGAAGGAGAACAAACCCTGATACAACAGAATGGTACCTAAAGTGCATTTTGGTCAAGTTCATACTGGGAATGGAACCCAAAGTTCACAGGAGCAAGAGCAGCACACAGAAACTTTTCCAGAACCGTTGGGTAACTGGAGGGGTTGCTCTGGGAACGTGATGGGTGTTTATTCTCTGTGTTTGTTGATTTTTTTAGAATTCATTTGTTGGCATCAGGAGTGGGGTCAAGGGCAGCCTCAGTGGGTTTGTTGTGAAACGTGTCAATAAGCTGAGTTTTAATAAATGCCAGCAGGGCAGGAGCTGGAAACAAACCTGAGCTTTTGGATTCCCTTAGTGCCTGTGGTGCTTGTAGGAGTTAAATTCCCCTTTAGCCCACCCAAAATGAACCAGCCTCTGTAAACTTTAACATTTCAATGGTCTGGAAGCTGCTGAAAGTTTCTAGTTTTCTTTGGTTAGTGTTTTCACTTAGATAATATTTGAAATGCACTCCTTGGGCTGCTTTTTGCAGCTCTCAGTGGTTTTTCTTTCCCTTCTGTTTCTCTGAATTTCACAGGTCACTCAGTTTATCTGTATCTCCTTGCAGTTGCCATTTTTTTTTGTCCATACTTTTAAAAATAAAAATTCTGGGGTATAGTTAAGCTCCCTAGAAGCTGGCCCATGAAATTCCATTTGCATTCATTCCAGCTGTCTGCTTGCTTTGCACTTCTTTTGCCATGCAGAGCCCCAGTGAGAGGGAAGTATTATCTTGCAGAAGGGATCAAGTTGAAAATTTCTCTGAAGGAAATATCTCTTCAGAATTAACCCTCATTCCTCCCTGGTGACTGGTTCTGATGCTGAAGTGCCTGAACTTTCCTTAGTAATATTTACATCCATTAATCTGTGGAGTGATTATTGGTCAGGAAAGGTGTTTAACATCAGAGGAAAGCTGAATTCTTTCATTATTATTAGGATTGAATTATTCTCAGTATAGAATAATAAAACCTTCTCTGTGGGTTATTTGGTTTTAGTGCACATGAGTCCCAGCTCATCTATTCCCATAATCTTTCTTATTGTTCTGATTTGCATAGTACTGTAACAGGACTTTAAAATCCATGTGTTAGAGCAACTATAAAGAAAAATACAGTGTCTTAATACTTTCCAAATTCACCTGGGGCTGGGAATTTGTACCTGTAACATTTAAGTGATTAAATAACAGCACAGCCAGGTAAGGCAGTGGTTCCCTGGTCACTCTCTGAGATCTGTGGAAATATTGCAAATCTTGCACAGAATTTTGTGCATTTTTTTATCTTCTGCTGGGAATTTATTATTCCTGACCTTTGGACTTGTTTAATTACGTAAGTTAAAATTATATCCATTTCTTTTTAATGTAACAAGCTATAAGACACATCAGTGCATTTCTTTTTAATGATTTTTTTTTTCTTTTTCTAATTAATCTTCCTTCTACCCCTCCCATCCCCAGGGTCAGTTAAGTGAGAGCATGGACCATGGAGGAGTTGGCCAATATGACCTGTAAGTTGCTGCTGGAAAATATCCTGTATCATTCATGCCAGCTACACATAACTTCTCATTTTGTCCCATTATTAAGGCAAACAGAAAATGTTGTCACTCTGGCTCAAATCTGAGTCATTTTTAGACATTTCACTATTGCCTCACCTTAAAATTTATGACTTGTATCTTGAAATAATAATAACAAAATAAAATCCTGGTGAAACCTTGCTGCTTGTCTTTTAATCCTTGTTTCTCCAGCAAGGATTGTTGGAGAAACCCTGAGTTCAGGAGACAAACACCTCCAGCCTGGCTTCATTTATAGTTCCCAGATTATTCCAGTGGGGAGAAGGAATAGTTCCAGCAGTTCAACCACATTTCCTTGAGCAGGATCAATCTGTGTAACTTTGGCAGACCTGGAACACAGTTTAGAAGCCTCCTTAAATTATGGATCAGACTTTTGTGGCATGTTCAGAGTTATGAGACTCTCCTGTTACAGCTTTTTCTGCCAGGTGTTTGTATTCTGGAAGTCTCCCCATGACTGCTGGGGCTGCTGAGTGTGATCTGACACTTAATCACCCCTCAGAGCCTCGTGTTTCCTTGAGGTCTTGGAGAAGTGTCCAAGTCAGTTGGAGGCTTTGATCTTCCAGACTTAACTCTGGTGTAATGCAGAGCACAGTGCATTGAAATGAAGGGATTTGAAGGAGATCCTGATCCTCTAAATCCCCAAAATTTGCAAGTAATCTCCTCTGTGCAAGTTGACACTTGGAGCTTTGCAAAGACTGTTTCTTTTCCAAGTGATATTCCCGGTGCTGAGGGTTCTCCAGATCCCCCGGGGAGTCGTCCCTTGGTCAGGCAGGCTGTGCTTGTCCCAGAGTCACTTGCTTCCTTTCAGTGATCATTTAGGAGTATCAGGTAGGCTTATATCCATGTTTTATCCTCTCCAGGGGCATGGAACATTGTGAGAAGTTTGAGATTTCAGAGACCAGTGTGAACAGAGGCCCCGAGAAGATCCGGCCCGAGTGCTTCGAGCTGCTGCGCGTGCTGGGCAAGGGCGGCTACGGCAAGGTGAGAACTCCTGATCCCCCCCTGCAGGAGCAAACCCACAGCATGGGAAAGGGCCTTCTGCTGCCTTGGCCAAGCTCTGGTCTTCCCAGCCTGTTTTCTGCCAAGTTCATTCTGCCAGAGGGGAGCCCCAAGGTTGGTGT